CTGATTGCCTATCTTATGAATTCTAATATAGTGTCATTATGCAAACAATTAAGTAAATACCTCCAGAAAGTACATTGCTAATGCATCTAAATTAAAGTGATTTCTTGCTGGTGTGAATTTTACCATATCTAAGGATGTACTTTGGGCAGGGGATGGGGAGGGGGGGGGAAAAAAAAAAAAAAAAAAAAAAAAAATACCTCCAGAAAGTACATTGCTAATGCATCTAAATTAAAGTGATTTCTTGCTGGTGTGAATTTTACCATATCTAAGGATGTACTTTGGGCAGGGGGGGGGGGGGGGGGGAAAAAAAAAAAAAAAAAAAAAAAAAAGGCAGTCAGCATTGCTAATGAAATTTGGTTCAAAATTGCTGTAATCCATTTTCTGATGAAGTGGCTCAGATGCATTTTACACAACCAAAAATATATAACAGAGAGATAAAAACATTCTTTAATAATAATGCACTTCTGATGAGATGGAATATAGAAAATTACACACTTGCTAAATTCATCAGACTAGACGCAATCAACAGAGCAGCGGAGGTCACCTTTCCCCTGCCCTCGCTTTGCTTTCATAAACAATCACTTGAAATGTAATGCAGTGGTTGACTTTTTCCATTCGATTTAGACACCGAAATGCTCATTATTGTTTTATATCTCACACAGGACAGTTCTAAGATTTGTTTTCCATTTAACCTAAATGTTCATAAAAACTAGATACCAAGATGCTGGTCCATGACTTACTGTTCCAAAACAGAAACTAAATTAAAACAGGTATTTTTTTTCTTCAAAGGAAGGAATTCTATTTTGCATCTCACATATGGCTTATAGTTTTTGCCACTTCAAAACAATTTCACAGATCTGTAAGATTATACGAAAACATATATGGGACATGTATACAATCTCAAGGTAAAACAATAAAAATAAAAAAGAAATCGGATGAAACAGAATCACCATAAATCTTCTCACCTTAGAAGCCAAAGCCTCAGCACTTTCACGGCACGTCTTCTCAATTTCAAGATGGTTCTGAATACAGTTTACTTCCTCAATAACCATGTGAGAAACTAGGGGAAGCATTTAAAAATTAGTCAGTATTTTCCTGCATTTGACACATGCATCCCATGATCAGAAATATTACATCTTTTTCTATTAACTTTCTATGTAAGTATTTCAAATACAGGGAAGTACGTACTTAGATAATCTCCATGGATAGAAACTGTTCAGAACATTGAATATCCAGTTCATTGCTTTAAGCAACCCTCTCAAGCCACGTCTGCAGCATTAGAGGGGGAACTGGAGAACTGAGCATAAACTTCTGGAAGTAGAAGGCCAGCAGGAGCCCCCCTGACCATCGTCATTCACCATCTTTATTTCATTAACACTTGAGGAATCAGAGTCAGACCGCTAGGATTGTCCCTTCAGATTGCTATCGTAATCCCCTTGAAAATTTGGTACGGACGCCGTTTTCAGAAGACTGGAACGTCGATATTTTTAAACAGCAAGATTAACTCAGGTGTCTTACAAAGATTATTTTCACCTTCCGGTCTTCAGGTTTACATGGTGTTCTAAGTATCATCACACTTGCTAAACACACTGTACAAGAAGAGCTGCAGGATGGACATATAGCACAGGCCTGGGGCAAGTTTACTAGGAAATGGAGAAAGGAGTTAAGCGACCAAAGCCTCTATATTTGTAGTGCCTCCTACAGCACATACCACCAAAGTCAAATCATTAGCACAGCACAGTTCCTTCTTCTGGTTCTGCCCCATCAGCTTCGATGCTAGCTGCAGTAGCTGGGATACACCCTGATGGATGCAATCCTGATGGAAACTCAACACTGCCTGCACTGCCCGATTTCTGACAACCTCAGCTGACCAACCCAAGTTCTGTATTACTATATGGCTGTAACAGCTGAACTGTTTCGTATTTGAAGTCCCTCTGTGCTCGAGCATGCCCTAAAATACACCCTGCCTTCACAGTCCTACACAGATTCAGACACCAGCACACACACGTGGACACACACAATCTTCCATGACACCAGGGCCGAGCGTGAGCTGCCTGACTGCACCTGAAATACATGTCTGTGCCACCGCATTTGATGTCACAGCTGGAAGACCAAGAGACACATCTGTCCTTTGCACTTACAGGATGCTTATTACTACAGTGGGTACATATCACTATATTGAAAATACACAATATTCCGAGAGTGACCAAAAAAAGTTATGGAACAAATCTTATTTTGTAACACAGGATACCAATGTGAGTTAGAGGACATTTAAAAGCACAGATGCATTTTGGCTCGCAATTCCTCTCAGCTTCCAGCAGCACAAAGGTACTTAACTGGTGTTGAAAGTCATCTTCTAAGTGACAAGTCACACAGGGGATCTGGAGCAAAGCAGGAAAGCCAACACCAGTTTCCCGTTTCTCAGGTTAGCACCTTGCCCATTGACACAACCCCTCCTTGGCTCCTGGCACCCTTATTCCTCCTAGGCAGCAGCCTGGACCCTAATTCTGCAAGTCATTTCACGGTGCAGATTCCTTTTCAGCCCAGTGTCAGGATTTCAATGTGCAGAAAGGACTATTCGTAGCAGAACAATACTCTGGAGCAAGAACAAGGCTGGAAGAATACAGTGTAAATACGAAGGACTTTTTCTAGTATCTCCATCTGTTTTCATGAAGATAAGCTTTAAAAACTAGCGATTTCATACCACTGGGTAGAAAGTCCCACCTGCCCTCTTCCCAGACTTTTGCCTAAAAACTGAGGAGAGATACTTAAGTTCTCTTTGATACCCAGAGGTCATCTTAATGACTACTAACAGGACTTTAGGATAGGAAAAAGCAGGCTGTTAGCAAGTGTTATTTATGCAGCTTTATTAATACTTAGTCAATATTAACTAATGTTTTCGTTAATAATATAGGAAACCAGCAATACACTAGGGTTTGCTGTCAAATCAGTAGCTGCACACAAGAAACAAGTTCTACAAAATACGAGCAGCCAAAAAAAAGAGCAGGGCAGAGTACTGGGAAATCTTGGCCTAAAAACGATATCCACATGAAGTCTTCTAACAGCAGAGCAACCACACCTCTTTCTTTGGTTGTCGTTTTATTTCCATTTTTTCTGGCTTTGGGGAAATTATCTGCTCCAAGCGTGCCGTACCAGCTGCTACATTTAATTTGAGAGAGGAAAAGCTTCAGGTAGTACATGTCCATCTCTCTTCTCTTTTTATTCTACCTAGCTCTGGGAATTTGGAGTAATGAAATGCTTCAGACAGGATGAGGGAGCAGTGAAGATTCAGAGCTGCTCCCATTTTACAGACAGGAATCTAATGGCCTCAAGCAAGGCTAAAGTTGGGAAACAAGGATTGGGCTCACATGGCAGAACTAGGGATTACTCTTGGTTCATTTAAACTTAATTAACCTGCAATTATGATTAACTCAGGGGGAAAAAAATCTTTCCAAATTAAATACAAAAATATATTATTTCCTAAGTCTGTCCAAAGTTCTTATTATGTCAATATTAAAATTCATAAAGCAGCACTAAGTGGCCTGAAACATCTCTAACCTTGACAGTTTTTTTCAGGGGTAATAATAATCCGCAGCAAATGCAGGCCAACCAAAAACCACTTAACTAATTAGTAGTTGCAGTCACCGAGAAAACATGAATCAACACTGTTATTACAAGTGGCACATTTGAGTGGCATCTAATTATGACTTGATGAGCACGATACTTGCATTATCAACATTACTACTGCATCCCATCAGGGACTAAAAGCCGCTGATGGCATTGACTGCGAGAAACTCCCACTCAATGGTACTGCAGCACCCAACAATCTCCTTGGCAGGGGCACCCTCACTAAATGACATGTTAAGCATAATTACTGGTAGACATTGTAAATAAACAGGATTGGAAGTGAAAATTGTACCAAGTGCATAAGACACAATCTGACACATTGGAAGTGGCAGCCTTAATTGAGAGTTTCTTTGACTGCTCAAGATCATTTCAACTGCATTTCTCGGAGGACAGTGATTATAACTGTGGAGACAGACGGCATAATGGTATCAGCACTGCTGACAGAGCAGTGAATTAAATTGTATCTGCTGTTGTGTGAAAGCCTTGATGAGAGGTACAGATCCTTAGTGGTCTTATCATTATAACACAATGGTCATGTTGTCATCAACCTTGCTGGCTCCAATTGAAAAGAAATGATTGTGTGTTGAAGCTTTCCCCCCCACCACCACCTTCTATCTCTTGTGCTCAATAGAACCAATTTTCAGAGAGCTATGAAATCACGCAATAGGGCCTAAAATGCAGCTGCTTGGCATACAAACGGGGCCCCATTAAACTGGAATCACACACAATATGTGTTTATGCCAGGAGAACAAATAGAAGCTGAGTACAGGCCAAGTTTATTCACAGACACAAAGCCGATGTAGCTCTTCATCAATATAATTGCCTTTTATATTGTCGTTTAAATAATGGGCTCTATTATTGCCTTAAAATCCTAATATTCCTGGCATTTTATCACTATGTTTACAAGGTATGTCCTTTAAAAACGTGAAAGGAAGATAAAAGAAACCTATAAAATTTTACAACATCAAATATTACTTCAAATTTTAAGTCTTAACTACTTGACATTTTCTGCCACGCTCTGGTATTCCTTGTATCATAACAAAAACAAAAGAGGCTGCAATTTTTTCCAGAGGAATTAGACTTCTTAGAGAACATTCTTGCCTCACAGAACAGTTATCGAAGATCATTTAAGGCAGTAGATGATTCCTGTTGATTTTAGACTATTTTCCATAATTGTATCACATGAACAATTATAAAATAGAAGTGAGCAAATTCCTCTATTAACACAGTCACACAAAAGTATAGACCATGTGATTTCCTTCTTCTGCATTAACTTCATCCACATTTCTGATGCTTCCTCATGCAGTTCACCATACTGGCACAAACCAGACATAACAGACCACAATCCTATTGTAATTGTCTCTTCTAAGGAGCTATTCCACTAGGATACTTCCACTCCCGTTAGATGTGCTTTGCTGCTTCCAGACACCATACAGTTTCAACAGAACCATTACCATAAAAGTGTAAAACTGAATATTGACCTTCTCACAGCCCAGACAAGACAGAACTTGCTCTAAAAATTATCAAGAGACAGCAGTTCATCTTAAAAACCTTTATTGGTCTGTCTATGCTTAAAGTAATTTTACTCATTCTTCATGAAAAAATTACCATTATTATTATTATTATTATTATTATTATTACTACCAATCTCAGCAATAGGGTCAAACCCCACTCAGTCCAAGCACATATCATTCTAAAAGTCACTTGCAGAATCCAGGTGAGACAGAGCCACATTTGTACCGCAGTATTTTCACCACTTTGCACCTCAAGAATGGCTACCTGTGTCAGAGCATATAAATGCTGTGACAGCAGTTAGTCTGACAATGGTCAAAGTCTCACTGGATTAACTCCTTAAAACAAGGCTTTGAAGGAGAAACAGCAAGTGGACCTGAATCTCAGCATTCAGTATGCAGAGCGATGTTCGTAACTCTCTATACCAAAAAATTCCCACTATCAACTTACTTTTCTGAAACTCCTCCAGTTTTTTGACAGCCTCATCTCGTTCTTGCTTGATTTTGTCACACTGCAGGAGAAGAGAAAATTGAAATGAAACACTGATCCCAGTTATTTAATTAGCAGTCAGTCACAACATGCAAAATCAACAAAGATCAATTGCCGGCACAATAACGTACAGAAGCCTATCAAAGCATCATTTCTTTTTGCTCTCATTCATGTAAGATAGATGGAAACTATGCATAAAAAATTCATTACCCAGAGTATTTCCTAAACAAACTGGCAAGTTGTACTTGATTTTAGGTTCCAATTCAGAGCTACTCTGAAAATATTTTAGAAGAGCCACATTATCCAAAACTGATATAAACAGTCACCCATGTTCCACACAACAGTAAAAGCAATACTTTGCATGTCAAGAACATGCTTTAAGTCTAGCTTCTTTAACACAAATAGACTTGGAAAAGAAGCCTACATTTCTATACCTACCATGTGCAAGGAAAACCTCAAAGCCAATAAACAGGGACGTACCGTTCAGTTTCATAACACCATGAGCAAAACTTGAAGAGGGGAAGACACTCATTCCCATACTTGGAGGATTTCCCATCACCCCAGTTTTATTAATTTGGGGGTTAATGCTAATACTACACAGGGCTGCAATCATTGATCTTACGATGGAAAGGTTTCTTCAAAGAGAAAGAATAAAACAGACATTAAAGAGACTTCTCTAAGAAAGCCCCTTCTCTAAGCAAATGAAAGAACTCAAAGAAATGAGTAAACTTCACAAGAGACACAGTGATTAACCACACTGTGAAAAACACATGACCCAGGGGGAAGTATGACTGGCACACAATGTGTCTTACACACATGGCGTTCCAGACATCCTGCCTCACATGCGGCTGTGTATGTTCACAGTAATAAATCAACGTAAGACCACGAGTTAACTTCTGGAAGAGATCTGTGTAACTGAGCTCCTTACAGTGTAACTGCAATTACAGGAATACCGATCATTGGAACAGAATGGGAAAAAAACCCTGAAATTATTTTGCTCGATTTTCAGTTTTTCCACATGAGGACCCACTTTGAGTTAGCTGGGAAAGGAGCCTGCTGTTAAGTAACAAGAAGGGGGAGAGCCCGATTCAATGGCAGCCAAATTCAAGAGAGCCCTTCTATCAGCTCCGGAGGACCTTGGATAAGGCCCAAAGAAGGATCTGCTTTTGAGCAAGAAGATGCCATTGGTGTCACCTCAGGGGCAGCCTCCCCACGGGCTTTGGAAGCCGCTGCTGAGGGCTATCTGTGGGAGCAAAAGGAGCTGCACTCAACAAGCAATCACTCCTCTCGTGGCACTGGGGTGATAAGGCAAGGGACAGCGGCTGAGCAGGGGGGACAGGTCAGTCACCAGCTGCTATAAAGGTCTGTGAAACAAGGAAGAGCTGCCGGACGAGGACTCACCGCTTCATCTGGCCCTGTTAACAAAGAAGCTGTTTAGAGAATCTTGCACAGCAGAGGTGGGGAAGGGAAATCTGTGCATGAATCTTGCTGCTTGCTGCCCTCCCTCTCGGTTTCCTCAGCGAAAATTTGCCTTACCTTACCGGCAGAAGTGCAGCCTAAGAACAGAAGGCAGTAAAAGACGCAGGAAGAATCTCCGATTGTTCCTGCAGAGCACAGCTGCGCTGCAAAAGGGGGATCACTGGGAGCTGCTGCCTCTCTGTATTTTACAAGAGAGACACTGTAACCACACTGGCATACTTCACCCACGGATTTTTCTGCATGCTGCAAGCTTTCAGCCCACTGCACATTAAGTGAGCAAGCGCTTTTAATGCTCAGTTTAAAAACCAGGAAGACTAGCATTTTAAGGATCTGATCTGTTGCCTGTGGAAGTCAACAAGACACTTTCCTACTGATGGAAACCTTGATGTAGAGGATGCGGTACACTTCCTATCCCAATGGTAGGAAAAACGCCTTTTGAAATCCTCCAGCAACATGCTGTAAGGCGTAACAGCTTTCCCTGCGCAGCAAAAGGAGAAGTTAAATGACCTATTCCACTTCACCTTGAGTGTTACTTGCAGAAAGAGCTCCATTTGGACCACGGCAAGCTGACTATTCTCCTGATAGCTACACATGTTTCTCTGCACAATCAGGGTCTGTAGGTTTGGGTCTCTGCAGAGCAATTCCTGCTCCCTGTTGCAGCTTTCTGAATATTTTCCTTTCACTGCTCCTGTGCTTCAGAATGAAAGAGCAGGAAGAAAAGCAGAGCAGGAGATAGTTGCCCTTGCTGAAATGATCAATGGAAAGCACTTTGCCTTTTGTCTTGCAATCAAACCTGTGCAAGCAGAGCAGTTACAAGTCCTACCAAAAAAACTAGTTTATCTCCACTTTAGCTAAGTATTAGAAAGAGTTGAGATTGTCTTTAACTACCTGTACTGTTTCAAACTGGAAAGTTACACAAATAAAATATTCATATAAAGCAATTAAGTTTCATTATAAAAAGCACTGTCACCCCTTAAAATAAATTAACCTTACCTTTAAAACAGGAAAGTTTAAAAATATCAATATTTAGAAGTGTTAGCTGCTCTCAAAAAGCTGCACAGAAGCCTTCAAAATTCACGACCACCTCACTTTTCAAAAAAGCAATTTGAGGCATACACAGTAGAATTGTTAATTGACAAGAATATCACTAATCTTAAATGTTAAAAGGCAAATAGCATAACATTACTATAAAATCCACTGTTCACTTTTCACATTCAAGTGCATGCAACTGTTGAGGAGAAACAATTTTCAAGCATTTACTAAGTCTCCCCTTGTCAGTATTAACAGATAGCTCCATACTCAAGAGTACCTTCAAATGAAAAAAAAAAAAAAAGTTGATAACTCCTGGATTGTCGGTCATTTTTCTGTTTTTAACTTTATTTTGTTAAAAGTTCCAGCTTCTCTGCAGAGGAAAATAAGCATTTATACCATTTGATTTACTATATTTTAGTCTAATATTTATAGCACCATTATCCCAATAAAAACCAAAGGTAATAGACAATATTCCCATTCCAGTCCTGAACTAGCTATAGGAGTCAACGATAATTTCTTGGCAATAAAAAGACATTGCATCTATGTTTTTAGAAACAAATAACAGTTCAGTTTCCAAAATTCATTCTGTGAATAATTCCTTAGGATTTTTCATCTTTGCAGAAGCAAGTTCAGGAGCTTTGCCAATCCCACTCAATTTCAGAGTTTTGCCTTCTAGGTACACGAGATACAAGGCAATACTTTCATTTCTAGCACAGAGAACTGATATGCTGACTACTTACAAGTAAATCACGCACACGTCAAAGATTGGTGTTCAAACTAAATGCTGCATATATAGCAAGGTGAACAGCAGTACACGAACTTGGCCTGTGCCTGAGTTAGCACAATACCAGGATAGTACCATGCCATCACGGGAACCTGACGCTACAACGTGATGTTGGGAGGTCGATGCCCACAACCACCTGGAAGCCTGTGGATACACAGGTCTCCGCACACCTGCTCCCACCAGCCTAATGACTCTATCTTTCCCACTAATTCTGGGAAGGCCTGGATTTCTTGTCTGTTTTCTAACAGGCTTCTTTTTTGCCAACTAATTTGCACATAAGCTCCTACTGACTTCAGTAAAGGGCCTTCAAAGGGCAAAAACAAGAAGGAGATTGTTCAGTCCAGATATTAAGATGCAAGAAGTTCACGTAGTAGCCATATAGTCAAGTAAGCCATTGCTAAGCAACACAAGATACATTCTTTCCCATTTACACAGATTGTGAAATTTATGCAGATTTAATGCTTGTTCTAAAATTATGAGTTTGGTACAGTGCTCAAAAGCATCCTATGACATTTCCTATACTCTACTTACAGAAAGAATGAGCATGTCATCAAGGCAGAATCCCTTCTCTGTTCCCATTTGGTGACAAAACATATAATCCACTCTATACATGTGCTTTAACAGAGCAAACATCATGAATGATGTATCAGAGATACAGTATTACACCTACTGTTTGGAAAGCTGTCTTGCCTTTTTTTTCCCCCTACTGGCAGCATGACAAAACACTGTCAAAACCAGTGTTCAGAGTCATTTCTGTCTGATTAGCAAGTAGTCAAATATTTATTCATGATCTGACTCTGAATATGTCAGAACTGCATATTAAGTTATCTACGTTTGTGCGCAATTGAACGGTACTTATCTATTTTTTGGGGAGTGGTATGCATGTTTAGTCGGCTACTTCAATTAAAGGGAGGACCTAAGAGAAGTAATCTGCCAATGTCATTTTTTCTCTGTTTTTTGAAAGTATTTAAAAATACTAATAAAAAATATGCCTGCACCAATTTTGTCAGAGACCCCACCAGAGGTCTCCAAATTGGGAGTTTAGCAAGGCAATAAGGAAGAGACACTGCAGATCAAAGATCTTCTCTTTTGCCTCTGAATTTTCACGGTTATCAGTATCCTTTTAAGCAGCAGTACTCTGAACAAAGTAACCTACGTAAAAGTCAATTTACTTTCTAATATTAAGAAAAAATAAAGAACAAAGAGCATAAATTTAAAAAAATTAAAATTACGTTTATTTTAAGTTAGCTGCCTGTTATGCACCAAGTTCCATGTTTCTAATGTAAACTAGTATCATTTCTCCATGACACAGCTCATCTTTCAGAGCCATACAAGTGTACTGGTGACTTAAAAAAAATGCCACTGAGTGTGTCAAAAGCACATACATACAGACTGGTATCTAACTTCTGTGTGGTACTTTCCACAAATAATCTGCAAATCTTTTTCTAAACAAATTAACTCTCTCTTCTCTTCCTCCTATCAATGCAGTTATGTGACCACAATTGATAGAGAGGAAGTCATTTGCTTACGCTCATACTGACAGACAGTGGCAAAAAGCGGAACAGAAGTCACCCACAACTTCCCAGACCCACAGGCAGAGATAGCCTGGGCCATACTTCCTCCGATATCAGGTTTGATTCTGCAAAGCATAAAGTAACATACAAAGTCAGAGAGACACTAATGAGCTTTCAGGATTACCCAGCCCTGCAATAAAACGAGGAGTAGTTTCTTCCAGTATTGGCACTGTAAGCAAACATAGCCATGAACTCTGTATCAGTAGGTCCTTTTTTTTGTAGAAGAAATGCACTTAGGGCCTCACACTTAACCACTTGAGTCCAAGCACTTAAACAATTAAGCAGGACTGCTTACACAAGCACACCAATTTGCAGGATGGAGGTTCTTGGATGGAGAATACTTGCATAACAAGTGAAAATCCTCCAACCCTGAGCATGTGCTTAACTAATTTGCCCGACTGGGGATGTAATCCCCATGTGCTGAGGGCCAGAGGATTTTCAATTGTTATGCAAGTATTCTGAAAAACATCATACCAACCTTCAGAAGAAACACACAGAAGTGGCTAGAGATATGCAGCTACAGGAAAGAAGTCTTGTGAGAGAGAGGAGCAAGGAAGAAAGAAGAGCAGAATGCCAGAAACATCCTCAGAACATCTCATTTCATCCCAATTTTGGTGACAAAATTTTTCATTGGAATTGCCTTTGAAAAAAAAAATTTCTAAATAAAAATGCAGCTCAAGTCTCCTCATTCTCCCCACCCCTCAACCTAAATAAAGCTTTGTTGAAGAAACACCAAACCTAGCAGGACTTGGGTTCAGGGCAAAGCTGGAGAGGCCATTTTTCATGCAGTCGACAGGCCTGGTGTGGAAATCCTCACACGTGATGGAAGCCAACAATCAGCACAGGCTTGCAGGGGGACGAGACAAATTGAAGGAAGAGAGCTGTGAAGGGCAGAACACACGCAAACCCCATGCAGCTGAGGAGTGCCCAGGCTGCAAGTGGTTTAGAGACCAGAAGAGGACTCTGTGGAGGTGTTATACATGCTCTTACACTCCTCCCTCTCTGTTGCTGTCAGAGACAGGATACTGGGCTAGATGGACTCTTGGTCTAATTCATTCTCCTTTTCTTCTGAGCTCTAGGAGATGAACTGCCACAGTCTTCCAAACAGCAAAAATAGAGGACAGATTTCCTGGGATATCTGAGGCTCTGGTGTAGGAGAGCAGAATGGGAATGCAGCAACAAGCACAGTAAAAAAGACAAGAAGGTCAGTGGGTAGGAGGGGGTGAAGCACAATATGCTGAGCTCAGTGGAAATATATGTACTCATTGCTGAAGTGTAATGTGAAGATAAGCTTCAAGTTTTCTTTAGCAATGAGAAAGTAGTTAAGGACAAGGTCTTCCCAATACAGCCTTGAATTGCAACATTTAGAACAACAGGACCAAACATGACCCTTCAGAAATGACTTCACAAAAAGCTAAATTAAACCTACATGCCTTGGCAGCTAACGCAGATTTGAAAACTAACATGTTTCTTGCATCTTCAGCTCACTAATACTGGAGAAAGGAGAATTTTCTGTTTATCTAGAACTGATAAGAGGCTTTTACTGGCCACAGTTTCTTTTGGCGGGTATCTGCTAAAAACCTTTTGCACATTGACAGGGATTTGTGCAATACAACACTGCCATCAAATCTCTCAAGAGTTCTCTGTTCCTGTTGGCTTCCTCACAGAAAGCAGGTGTGTTGAATGAACAGGAGTCCTGGGTGGGAAGAGCTACCTGACCAAATGTGCTTAATTTTACTTCTAGGAAAACAACATATCATAATTACAATGTACAACTTAGAAAACGGTCATTATTTCTTACTCCAGTATCTCTGAACATTAAAAAATGAAGCCTGCTGTGATGTATGAAGTTCAGCCCATACATTCAAAGCCTCTTTTCAAGTTGGGCAGGCACGCAGATTTCACAGAAGGATACGTGATACGCTGCAAATCTGTTCTATGCTGCAGTACCATTCTGCAAGTTGAGATAAGACATCTTGCTCTCCTATTAAAAGTTGGGGGTGGGGGGAGGGCAGGGAGAAAGACTTCAAATACCTTCAGAAATCATATTCCCACATTCTGTATTTTCAGAAGGGCTGGGTGAGGGGAGGAGTTACTCTATTTTCTGTTCAATAAGTTCCACTGTGTAAACCAAGTCATAATAAACCAAGGTTTAGATCCAAGAGAAACAAGGTTTCCTAAGAATATCTAAACACTTGAGTTGGTCTATGCTCACATTGTAACCATATGCAAACTGGCTACAGCAGCAATCATTTAAAATATATATATATACATACATATATTTTTATAGCAGCTTTTCTGGAGTGGGACAGCTAGAATAGCTGCTAGGAGTTGCATTCATTGCTCCTTAATACCTATAGGTATAGAAGTAGTACTTATGAGTGACTCTGGAAGTAATCAGCTGAGCTCACAAAAGCAGACAAAAACCTCCCATAGCCAATAAGGTATTCTGATATTTAGCATTTTAGTATTAAAAACATAATCAATAGATACAAACCTCCTCTTTCGTTTTCTTATTCTCTGCTCTAAGCTCTTCATATTCACCAATAGCTATACAAGGAAAAAAGAAAAAAAGAAAAGCGTTAATATTGCAGCACCTCGTTTACCCAAATTAGCTTGCCATTTCATTCATTTTAAAGCTCTTCTGGCTATCTACACAGACTTCTTAAATAACATGGGTCATAAACTTCATTAATAGCCTATGGATGAACTGGATATCCTTTTAGAATTGAAGTAATTGGAAAGTGTCTGAAAAAGATGGTGGCTCCCAAAACAATCAATTTTTGATCAATGAAGAGTTAAACAACCTTATTGACTGAGTTCAAAAATTACGAGGTGAATGTACTGGCTTGCAGTCACCATTTTAAACCCACACTGGCTCAGGTTACAGATCAATGCTAGAAAGCATGATTAATGCAATACTGTTACACATATGTACCTCCAGAGTAGCTGAGCACCTTTATTTATTTATTTATTAACATTTTCTCCCAACAAGAGTCCTATGAGAGATTTTTTTTCATTAAACTCCACAGTGGAGACATGAAAAGATTGTATGATTTACCCAAGATCACACAAGAACTCAGCTGCAGGGATCAGCAGGGAAGGGATCAACCTCCAGGATGCTGGAGGTCCATCACTTCAAACCAGTAAATAATATGCAGAAACAACCGATCAGATACCAATTCAGCTTCCAGTTTATTGTGTATTTTTGTGTGCCACCCTTGAAATTTTTATTTTACTACCTTAGGGACGTGCCATCATTGCCACAAGTTCCCAATTCTATTGTTCTTTCAGTGTGTCCCATATGGGCTGTTTGGCCTTCAATACCATAGAAATTTTATTGTCCCTAGAAAGAAGCTGAATACACCTCCAAACCTTAAAGAAACAAACCTTGCTAGAAAGGAACATTTTTCAGTCTTTGAGATGCATACTGCAAGAGTAAAATGAGAGGGCTGTTGACATTACTCTACATCTTATTGCAGCCCCTCAGTATCTCCTCAATTTTTTTCTTGTACCTAACAGAAGCCACACTAGCATACAGGTGTTATTTCAAGCCAACTTAATTGAAACTGGATAAAGGGTATGAATATATAGTTTTCAGCTGATGATAGCAGAGATGTTGGAGTTTCATCTTAAACTTAACATGTCTTACCTTACATCTGAAGACACGAACATGTAGATTCTGGCAGATTAGCCATCTGAAAACCTACTAGCCCTTTCTAGCTTTAGATAAACTTTTTCAAACAAGAAGCTCTTACAAATGAAGTTACACTCTACACTCTTGCGACGTCCCTCTTCTCCCCCCTCCCCAGCATTTCAAAATCTGTTGAAATAAAACTAATTCAACTCAATCCTAAAAGCTAGGTCCATGGCATCACTGTTCTGCTTGCCTTCAGCATGCCTATTACTCTCAGCAGCAGCACAGAAGTACCTCTGATGTAAAAACCTCAAATTATCCTAATTCCTCTTTTCTCCAAGATCTCTTCATTTTAGAGATGCAGAACTGAGGTACATGAAGTCTGGGATACAGACAGCAGTATTAGCTCCTGGGCTACTAACTCAAAACACAGGGCTCTGGTCCTCATGTGCCCGGACCAGCAACGGGGAAATGGCAAGACCCTGCGGACTCTATTAACTAGAAAGGGAAACTGAGGAACACTAGAAATGTCCTAGCCAGAATCTCAGCTCTGCTGTTAGCAGCAAGTATTGAAAAATGTCCAGAAAAAGAAAGTTAAATAAAACCACTGAAAACCAAGTCACAGGCCACATGAAAACTCACAGGAAATCTGATAATTTAAACAGATGGGAAAAAATCCTCACTGCCGCTCATCCAAGTAAAAAGGTATATCGAAAGAGTGGAATGAACAAAACCAGGTTTCCTAAAATGTGGCCTGCATCCCCCGTACCAGTAAAGCCAAGGTCGCTCATCCATCCCTTTACTTTGTCCCCACTTCTCCTTACCTACCCTTGAGACTCCTACCCACCTCCCATATTCAAGAAGTAGAGAAAAACAGGTAGATGAACGGGGAAGAAACCACGCTGATGCAGTTGCTCTAAGAAAGGGCACCTAAAGTGAAACAACTTGTTTCCTACACAAGAACACAAAAGCTATGCCTCTTGATCACTGTTCCACTTCTAAGCCATTTCCCTGTTCCCTTTAGGAAATCAAGGGAAGAGATTTCTAGCATCCAGATGCAAGAAAAGGACTGAAAACTGTATCAACAGATACAATTCAAGTTTCTTCATACTTGAAAACTGCTGGTGTTTGCTTGCCTTTAAGGCAAATTCATACTTGCTATTCAATACTTTATAAATGACTGAAAAATGTAAATATAGATTTGCCCCACCCTTGACAGCTTTCCTCACATGCTCCGTGAACAGAGAACTCTGAATCATCAGCCCTTAAGGCACGGATACAAGAACAAGCTACCAAAAAACAAGGATACGAACTTACACAACGCTCCAGCAATCCCCAGTAAGCGCTCACCTGTGTGAGACTGGAAATTAAACTGCCTGTTCAGGGCAGCCTTGCCCTCTTTTACTGCAGATGGTAATCCATGGCACGTTCGTCGTGGAATGAAAACACAAAATCATCAGATACTCAGCTGCAGTCACACAGCACCTTTCTTCAGTGCCTTTTTACCGTGCCCACCCCCTTACCGTCACTGCAAAACTATTAGTTCTTCCTTCAATCCAGCTAATACGTAGTAAGGATCTGATGTCTTAAAATAAGATTGTTCTTCACAGATGGCAACCTCTAGATGATGCTCCCATACAGATCCCGTCATTCGGATTTTCTGGTATGGATTTATTAAACACTAAATCTCATTAAGAAACTACTGTTTTTATCAGGCCTGGAAACAGAAATAGTAATTAAAAAATTACTGTACACATTTTCTGCTGTATATCAGATTCCCTGCAAAGGCAGAAGATGACTTAGAAGTTATGAAGTATGACTGGAGAGTTGGATTTTTTTTCTTTTTTTGAACATTGAGGGGGCTATAGGGACGTTTTTATACAGAGTTTTTCAAGTGTTTTATGTACAATGAAGGTTTGAGGCCATCTCAAAAAAAGTAAAGAGTCTACATAACCTTCACTGAAGCAGCAAATGGCCTAAAGGTGACAATGATCTCTTTGCTCTAAAACTACCCCAGAACAATTAATACCAGCAGCGCTAGGCAACACTTTACATGTTCCAAGCGTCATATAGATTACTGGGCCTTAAAACCACTTTGGTCGTTTAGGAGGTACCGTTATCACTCGTTTATAGATTGACAGGCCATAAATCCTGTTGTATGAGGACTTCCCTAAACCTTCTCCGAGAGACAGGACTATTTTTTCTCCTTAAACTATGAAGGCTCTCACACAATATACGCAACAACAGTACCTGAGCATCTCAAAACTTGGTACATCTCACCTTGACTCAATCAGATTATGCTATATATAAATTACCCTCGAATAAAGATATCTCTTTCCAATAAATTAGTGGTGAACGAAACAAACAAGTGAAGATACTTTACTAACAGTGCTACTAAAATTCCAGAATTATACATAATTTTCCTCAAAGAATCAATATTGTAGCATATATTGATAGTAAAATGCCTATGTTGTATTCATTAGCCTCCAGTGAATCCTGAAGAACTATGATAAATACATATCGGAGACCTCTTGAGATATTCTCGCTGTCTAACGCTAACTTAAGTTTATCCTTAATAGAATTATTCCTGATATACAGCAGTATTATATAAACAATTTATCAGGATACAAATCACATTTCTTTGCTACAGGCTATCTTCATGCAGTATGAGGGCAACACTACAACTTCACCTCAAGACTAAGGAGAGAAGAACAGAATATTTGGGGCTATAGCTCTTAACCCACCCAAAACATATTCCCATCCAACCCTGTTCTTATTGTAAAACAGTCAAACCATAAAATAGCCAACACGAGTGAAGGCAGCTTGCTCCTTCATAACGCAACCATGCTCACTCACCAACTACTCACTCCTCAGCTCAGTTGGCCAGAAGGGACTGTCCTGTCAACATGTATCACTGCACTTTATCCATATTAAATTAAGCAGGTAACTTTGTATACAGAAGCTCTTATAATTATATCTTAGTCTTTTGATTTTTAGTGGTGAACCTGTGTCTCCTGAACCTAGATTTGCTGACAGAAGATATGCATTATCTAAATTAGATGTTTTATATATGAGATACTTATTATGGCTAAAAAGCACTTATTAGTACAACAAGGTCGTAAGGGTAAAATTATATAATGACTGTAATTCATAGTGAACAACAGAAAAGACACCTTCATTTACACAGAGTGAGGTGGTGAGACTCTTCCTACTCTTTTTATTAAAAAATTCATCAGCCCCTTTTCTAAAGCTGTATATTAAAAATACAAATTAAAAAAGCAACATTAAAAATGCTACATATATATACTTTAGCATTTATATTGTAAACCAGGGTGGCCTTCAAGTAGATTGAGAGCCCTTCCATGCCAAATCAATGAGTAATGCCACTTCAGCATTTCAAACCTACTTATTTAATCAAAAAGTAAGTAGAGCTGTCAAAGGCAGCAAGTGTCATTCCACTATTTATTCTTCTAGACTACAGACCAGGCATGTCTTTGCTGGTACAGGCAAGAGAAAGAGCTTACAGGGCAAGAAGTCCTTGCTCCAGATGAAACAAGCTATCCTAATGAAGTCATTTTTTGTTGGTAGAAGTAAACCAACACCTGGCTTTCTGCAGATTCGGATACAGCATTAGAGAGATAATTACCCCTGACAGCAACACTGCACCAGAAGCTTTAATGGCACAGCTGCCACCACCCTCCTCATCCCAGTGTACTTGGAATAGGAAGAGCCAGGCCAAGTCTGGTACACAAACCATCTCTCAAACAGCAATGGTCTCCCTACAAGCACAGCATGCACAAGACCTGTGAATTGCTGTCAAGAGTACAGACAAAAGTCAAAAGGGCTCATTTTTTATCTTGTTCCCCATTTTAGGCTCAAAGATCCCTTTCGCTAAACCCAGGCGATCTCTATT